TCTCTCTCTCTCTCTCTGTAAATGTCCTTTCTGGTGACCATGTTTATCACGACCACTCTGCGGATGAAAAGTGTCGGATAGGTTTGCTGTTTTAACTGTCTAGCTGTCTGTCCGTCTGTCTGTCTGTCTGTCAGTCTGTCTTTCTCTCAATCTCTCTCTTTATAAATCTCCTTTCTGGTGACCTTGTTTATCACGGCCACTCTGATGAATTGTGTCAGGTAATCAACATTATTTTTCCCTGTTATTTATTTGGCTGTCTGTCTATCAGTACGTCTGTCCATCTGTCTGTGTGATTTGATAGGAGTGTTAAATCTACACTCTTTCACCATTTTTTATCTGTTTTTCTGTCTAACTATCTATTTATCTGCCTGTCTGTTTGTCTGACTATCTGTCTATATATCTATCTGGCTGTCTGTCGAGGGGAGAAAGAGCTTCCTGTCTCTGGCAAACTGGGTGGCCTGGCTGGGTGGGATGTTGTGTGTCTTCAGGGTACCCTCGACCCAGGTCTTCCTCTTCCCTTGTACCCTGATAGCCTTCATAACGGCTCCAGAATATGATATGGTACGCTTTTGATAGGGCAGATGGAACATTTTAGTACCCCAAAACGGCCAAAAATGACAAATAGAACTTTGTAATTCTAAGATAGAAGATAGAACTTTGTAATTCTTAGATAGAAGATGGAACTTCGTAATTCTCAGTTAGAAGATAAAACTTTGTAATTCTTAGATAGAAGATAGAACTTTGTAATTCTAAGAAGATAGAACTTTGTAATTCTTAGATAAAAGATTGAACTTTGTAATTTTCAGATAGAAGATAAAACTTTGTAAATGTAAAGTAGCGTCTTGTCTTCCTGTTTCTAAATTTCCTTCCAGCAAAGACATCCCGCGTGGGTTCACCTCACTCCCTAGACTGCCCCTCTTCTGCCTCACCGCCATCATCAGCAGCGCGCTGGGCATGGTAGCCACAGTCATCGCCATGAACAAGCAGAAACACGACCAAAGGAAAGGTCGAGGTCGTCTGTCCGACTGCTACAACACAAAGGGAAAGGAAGTGATGTCATCATCGGGAAAACCCGCGGAGAAAACGGAAGAGGGGAAGGTGGCAGACGATTGGGCGGCAGCTGATGAACCGAGGAAGACAACTCTGGGTCACAGGATTGCTGCCTTTTTCCAGAGAAGATCGACGAAAGTTTCAGACGCGTATGTCAATGTGGATGGCAGACCTAGATTCCCTGCGGAATTGTTAGACAAGATCTTTTTCGTTTGTTTTCTTCTAATCTGCATACCTTGCTTTGCGTCGGTATACTTTATCTAAGTTTTTAACTGATTTATTAATTTATTCTTTCATTTATTCACTGATTCATTGATTTACTGATTGATTTTCAGTGTGTATCCGCTCATCTATAGTGCGGTCAAAAATTCGTGGCGCAACTTATTGTCAAATATCTCCTGAACTATCGAACATAGGTTCTTCATTTTTTGCACCGTGACTTGTATCAATTTGTCTTAACAGATCAATATTCTTGTTAACACCTGTTAGCTGTATTCTAGAAAATTCCTTAATGAATACTAATAAAATAACACAGTGGGTGGTTTCTACAGATTTTGTAAAAGTTTACAGCTGCGGCATAATCGCTTTTAAATACAAGTCATTTTTATTACGCATGCTTTGAGAACTTTTAGTGCAAACATGTGTTCACTGTAAAATTAATTTCTGGTAACTAGTTTTGCCACCTAAAAAATTGTCACTGGTGAGCTGTGACGTAGGCTATATGCATATACAAAATGTGTGTGAAGAGCGGGAAGTGTTGTGAACAATTCCCTTTTCCGTGTGAAGGAGATTTGTTGTATTTTATATAAATTTATGAAGAAAAGTATTTTTAATCCAGCCTCAATTGTTGTGGAAAAATATCATGATTAAGTTAAGACAAATTGAGACAAGCTGTTGTGAAAAGTATGGATGATATTGATTCTCCCGTTTAAGAGATAATATGTGAGGATAAGTTACGCCATGAATTTTTGGCCGCACTATACACAAAGCGGTGTAACCACTCATTCAACATAAAATGATGACGTCGAACGCACCTTTGAGTCTTCTTCCGGTGACCACGTTTATCTCCCGTTTTGCTTTTATTTTGTAAAAAATATTTTTTAATTTTTTAAATTTTTTTTATTTATTTATTTATTTTTTTTTATTTTTATTTTTTTTTTGGGGGGGGGGGTTTAATGACGACGGCCTGTAATTAGTTGTTCATTTTTAAATTTAATGTTATGTTATTTCTTTTTTTTAAAGGGTTCCAACAAAGAAATTCTAATAACACTAAATATGTTGTAATTATAAAGTTTGTTTAATTATTGCTTTTTATTTTTGTTGTTTTTTTGTTGTTGTTTTTTTTTTTTTTTTCCCCATCTAATCGGGACAAAGATGTACATAACAATCAACTCGTAGTGGACAGGCAAATAAACTGAATAGTACCCAGTTGCATAATTTTGTCTGTCGTTTTGAGTATTTTTGTTTTTTGTCTTTTCGTCTGTCGTTTGTTGTTTTTTTCGTCTTGTGGTCTGTCGCTCTTTTGTTTATAGCCTGGAATCAATATTTTCTGTATTATTACCTTTTGCACCCATATCATTTGTGTGTGTGTGTGGGTGTGTGTGTGTGTGTGTGTGTACGTGTGTGTGTATGTGTGTATGGGTGTGTGTGTTTGTGTGTGTATGTGTGTGTGTCTACGCGTGTATGTGTGAATGTGTGTCTACGTGTGTGTGTGTCTACGCGTGTATGTGTGAGTGTGCGTGTGCGTGTGCGTGTGCGTGTGCGTCTGCGTGTGCGTGTGCGTGTGTGCGTATGTGTGTGCGTGTGTGTGCGTGTGTGTGTGTGTGTGTGTGTGTGTGTGTGTGTGTGTGTGTTTCTGTTCCAACACACCGTCAGAAAAATAGAGTTACACTATTTTAAATAAAAGAAGGAAAGATAAGAATTTCCCTAACTGGAACCGAACTTTTGTCTAATGTTTCAAACTGTGAACTA